ATGTTATTATTATAAGTGAAGTATTATTATGCTGTTATTATTATAAACGAAAATAAATTACCAATAGCAATTTCGAGTTAAATAATAGTGATTTAAAAAAAATGAATAGCCATTTCTTAATTTAATGCGCGGTGTTTTTTCAAATTTTCAAAATTTAAGGCCTGATGCTAATATAAATTGAAAAATCTGAAAGTGAACGATAAGAAAGAAAATTTATGTGTAAGCAATGTCTTGTCAAATATCACTTATTCAATCAACTGATAGACTTCTTAAATATTCAATCTATTCTGCTTTGCTTTTTATTTCATTAAATCTCCTATTACTCTTTTTTGTGCAAAAAATCTCTGACCTTACTAATTAAAAATTTATTGATTGAAAAAGAAATGTGACCTTTTCGTATGATTGTTCATTATAAGAGTGCTATTCTAAAATGCTAATTATCATTTTCTTGCTAATGTGTTCATGAATAATAAAATAACTTATCATGCGTTGTATATATCATATATCATCACATAACCTTATTTAAAGTGATTTAAAGATAATAAGGAGTAAAACAAACAATAACAATAAATAACAATAAATAACAATAATAACAATAATAATAACAATAAAGATAAATAATCGAAAGATTTCTCACGTATATACTCTATGGAAAATAAATCATGATTTTAGATTTAATTAAAAGTTCTATCTGCATCTGTTTCACACTCAAAGTTTTAATCGCGCAAAGTTGATATATTATGCATGTCAATTTATTCATTCCCAAATATACTGCCTTTAATAATTTGTTGTTTAGCTGTCCATGAAGCAAAAACAAATATGCAAATATAACTGTAATTTGTTTAATTCCAAGCTCTAACTAAACAGAATTTTTAATATTTTCTTTTTATGCATGCACATAAAAACATTTCATTGTTATTCCTTTCTTTCATCGATCAATCTTCAAACTTCTGATTATAAGAAAAAAGAAAAGATGTATTGAAGATGTGATTTAAATCAGTGGGAAATATCCAGCTGAAGAACGAAAAAGTTGAATATTGAAACTTTAAATTATAATTAGACTAAAAGACTAAATTAATGTTAATAATTTTGATGAAATTTCAAAAAATGCAAAGAAATCAGAAAATGGAAATTGGTAAATTTCATATACAGCATAAGTTCTGAAAAACTTACGATATGTAACCACTGCCGGTAGATTTATTTGATATGTAATCGCTCCCCGGTAGGCTTACTATCTAATCATTCCTGATAAATTTAACATTTTTATCAACTGAACGGAAAGAAGTCGAATGATAAAGATTTTACGGACAGCTGGTTTTTTTTGATCAATTTCATGCTAAATAAACGAAGTGACAGATGCAATCCAATTTTAGGTTTACTTTTTCCTTCCATAATATACAAAATTATAGTATGTAATTTTGGATCTTTTTTTTACTCCATTTTGCCCAGGAAATATTTGGATATAAAATATTCTCAGATTTCGATAAGTAGTAAGTTATTCAATGACTGCAAGGAAATTCAATAAAATTTATCGAAAATTACTTCAGGAAAAAATGGGAAGCAATTAACTCAACTTACAATGATATGCTGTGCAGAAATTTATATCACAGATTTTTGAAAAGAATAGAAATCTGAAAAATATCAATTAAAATTACGGACTTACAAACCCTAACTGACCAAAATTATATAATTAGTTTGTTAAAAAGTTTTAATTAAAGAGATCCTCTTGAAAGATCATGAAGGATGAATGCATTAGTTTTAAACCATTAAAGATTAAAGAAAATTTTCAAAAATTTAACTAATCCTTCTCTGATAGACACTTAATGCAAAGAATCGAATAAAAGTTTTCGCCACATCATTTATCAGGTAAACATTTTTGTTACGTAACATGATTGAAAATTGACAATAAATATTTGTTGTTAAACTTCACAAAAAGACACACTATCTTGATTTGTGATCCAATTAATTATTAACATCAACACATACGATTACTATTGATTGATTTGAAACTATTACTGTTGTTGCATTTGGATCACAAATCAGTCTTATTTTAATAGGAAAAATTGGCAGATATAATTAACAGAAAGCAAAACAAAATGGAAAAGAAACTACGAACATTGTAATTCTAATATATATTTGAAAACTTTTTCATGTATGCAAAAAAAGAAAACTTCGAAACTTGAAAAGTAAACTACTGGAACATTAGAAAGATTCCTTTCTAACTAATGATACTTTTCAATTAATTAATGTAATAACAAGTTTGAAATATAGCACAAACGACATAAATTATAGTTAAAATTCTTAAAGCACAGAAAGGAGGAAGATGAAATGCAGCTAATGTAGTAATATATAAAGTATAACTGGTTTTCATCGTTTGAAATATTTTGATAAATATTATTCATTCATTTCTTATAGGAAATTACTGTTGAATTTGAAGAAGGGATAATTATTAATTAATATTTGGAGAAATATAATTAACGAAGTGGAAATAGTAGCATGAAAAGAATGGCGTAAAGTAAAGATGCTTGAATTAATATTAATTAATATTTCAAGTATTTATACATTAGTTTCGTCAATAATTACAAGATTTGAAATAAGAGTAAAATTTGTATAATTTCTTTGATATAATGTCTCTAAGATTAAGATCAAATTCTCATAAATGCACATAATTATATTTAGATGTGAGAGGTTAGTGTTGTATTTTTAATAGTTTTTACAGTCATCGTTTTTTTTTTTTCATTTTAATCTCTCTCTCTAGCTACTTACCTGTCTACTTCTCAATTAAATTCACACTACCATTTCTGGTAAGCATTGTAATTCAGTTCGAAATTTAATGATTATTTGAATTGAGTTGAATTAATGAAAAATTAACAAATTAGAATGAACCTGATTTTGCCTAGCTCGAATTGTTGGATGTATACGAAATTGTGTATTTCCTTCTGTTTTCAACATTTGATATCGTTTAGATCGTAAATTTGCAACTGTATTGGCACCGGAACGCATCGCCCATTTGTTACGTTTTGCTCGAGAGATTCGATGATGTTGCTGTAAATATATTTGTTTTGTTTTGTTTTTTTTTTTTCATTTTTCAATATCAGCAATTATTTACGCAAATTTTTACATTTCTTTCATATGAAAATCAGGGAAAATATAACAACTGTGAAATTATATTACACCGGAAAACTATCATTCATACCAGAAATGACTTTCCTATCAGAAATTCTGAGAAAGATTAATCGTTGTTTTGTGATATTGTAAAAAATTTTAATATTCGTTTAAAAAAAACTAACTGTCTATCTCTAATAAAAAATGAAGTATTGCAAATCAAATCTAACTATTTAATAATAAAATACAAAAATCTAATCTGATTTATTAGCTCAAAGAATTTTTTTTTTTACTATCAAAGCGTAAAAAATTGGGAGCCATAAATAATTACTACAATATAAATGTATAGCACATATATACTACACGTATTTTATGAAGCTTTGCAAACGTAGACATGCAATTCACTTTTACGTAGCTGCCTAAACGTCAAATTATAACTTTTACGATTATATGGGAAAATTTATTAATGAGCAAAAATAAATGGATCTTTTTTTCGATAATTTCCGATGAAGAAAATGAAAATATCAATAAGAAAAATAATTCCTTTTTCATTAAAAATTGTCAAAAAAAATGAAATAATTCAAACAAACTTTTATTTACAAAAATAGAAATTTCACATTATTCTAAATAATCCATAATATTTTGATGTATAATTTGTGATTGGCTTTAATTATAAGAAAATTAACTGAGGTGAAATATGCAACATATATATATATATCTAATGTGCACCACTGATAATCTTTCCCGATTGAGGGATAGTAAAGGGAAGGAAAGGGAAGAGAAGAAAGGAATCGTTAATGGAGAGAGAAGAAATTATCGATAGACACCGGGTGGATAAGTCCATCTGTTGCTAACAGAATCAAATCGTAATTCTTTTTACCCATTCATTTTGGTAGAGCATTCATTCATTCAATGATGAATGAATGAATAATTCATAATAAAATTAATTATCAACTCACTCGACCATTCTCATTTGATTCATTCTCAATGTGTGAAAGTACAGGTTGTTCTACAATAATAAAGTATAATTTCAAATATTAATTTCGATATATATTTTATCCCATTATGCTTTTATTAATTTATATTTGGATAGAGGGGAAAATAGAAAAGAAGAAAAAAGAAAGATTCTTTTAAAAAATTCCATTAATCGCTATATAAAATTTAAAAAAGAAACGGGAATGAAAAGAAGAAAAAAAGAAGTAAAATATAAACCCTAGAAAGATGGCTACTACTAGCGCGATTATTGTTGTTGTTATTGTTATTGTTACTGTTATTGTTGTTGCTATTGCTGTTGTTATTGCTATTGTTATTGCTGCTGCTGTTGATTAATTGTACAGAACCATCATTTCCATGCAATCCTTCATCCAATAGTTCTAAATCGCTCGATTCACTGTTGCTCGTATCAGTCCCGAACAACTGACCATCATTTAGTGGCGCTGCAAAAAATATTCATAATTTGTATTTCCCACAAATTTAACGAAATGGAATGAAAATGGAATGAAACAGATTGGGAATGAATGGAATAGGATAGGATTGGAACAAATAACCTCACAAAAGAAAAAAAGGAAGCGAGAAAGAATGACCATTGCAGCAATAAGCGTATGGTAGAAAGAGGTAGGTAAAGAAAGCATGAGAATGAATGAATGAATGAATGAATGAATAAGTGATTGAGTGAATGAATAAAAGAATGCGAACGGATGAATGGATCGGTGAGAAATTACGATGTAAAATATAGGAAGCGTTGTCGAAATAGAATGGAGACAAAAAGTTATCGAAGTTAATTTGAATATTTTCAAAAGGAATAATCATTTCTATTTTGTATTTCAATTTCTTTTCCTTTTTCTTGTTTTAATTTTTGTTTTTGTTTTTCTTGTACTGAATCCCATCATTTTCTTCTTTATTTTTTCTTTGATAATTTTAAGTTTTCTTTTATCTTTTTGTTTTGTTATAAAACACACACATAAAGAATATATGATCATACATTTAAGAATATAAATACATGATTATATATCGAGAATCTAAACAGATGCATCGATAAATTAAAATGTCATGAAATTGAAAAGATTTTAAAATACATGATATAAAAGAAATTTTAAAATTCGAAGCAATTTCTTTATAATAAAGTAATACATTTGAAAGATCAAAAAAAAGTAATTTAGAAAAGAGGGATATTATTCGTGACTAAATTTCAAATGGAAAAGTTATTTTGATTAATTATATCACAAATGATATCGTATCTTCCTTTTCTTCTTCCTCTTCTTTAGTATAATATTTCATCATTTTTGAAATGTTTGCCAATACCTGAGCTTTGTTCATCATTAGATGATTGATGATGAGCTCTTTGATGACCAAACAATCGTCGCATTTCACCTTCTCGAAAAAAAAATTCCAATGAAATCACTGCTGACTGCTTATTGCTTTACAATATGTTCGTTGATTCGTTAACATCAATTAGCTGATTCGAAGTAAAAATCAATGATTATTTCCATCTATTTGTTCATTCACGTACGGATTTATTTCTGCAAAAGAAAACAAATCAAAAGAAAATGCCATATTTCTCTTCAAAATGTTTACAGAAAATTGACGGAATAGAACAAAAATCACATAGTACAAAAAAAAAATGTTATTACAAAGGCGATCATTTTTTTTTTCCTTTCATTTTCAAATAACAGCAATACATTTTATAACTTCAAAAAATTTTCAAAAAAAACCATCACTTATTACTTCTTGTTTTAGCCTTTTTTTTTAAAGCTAAAATCATTTTTGATTTAATCGAAATTTTCATAGAAAGTTAAAAATGTTGCGAATAAGTGGCAAAAAAAGAAAAAAGCTGGAATGGAAAAATATTAAAATTTCCGGTAAAAAAAAATCACTTACATCATAAGTGAATTTAGCATAGAATTAGAACAATAACTGCTATTAGAATTAAATTGAAATTAGTATTAAAACAAAAACAAATTGCCCCTTAACAAAACAATTTAAACAAACCAAAAAGCTATTTAAATATTCGCGCTGCATCAAAAATGAAATGCTTAACTAATTTTTTCACAAAGAAAAATTGCTAATAATGAAATAAGAAAATATGAATGATTCATTTGACAACGTTTTGATTCCATTTTGCTTAGTTAAAATAAACAAAAAATACATTCTTAAAAGAATGTTTAATAAAATTAAAAAATTTCAGTAATTAAAAGTGAAAATGTAGTGTTGTTTCAGTGTTGAAAACGTAAACAGTGTACTTTATTTTATCAATAAGTTAATAAATAGAATTAAAATTTATTCTTAAAATTA